CTTCCAGAGAGAAGAGAATCAGATACTGGACATGATGCCAAAGCATAGGATCAAAGATTTCGATTTTAGAGAAACATCATAAGTTACCTAATTCAACTCCCTTATTTTATAGATGAGGAAGCTGAGGTCCAGATGAAAAGTAAAAAGAAATTCTGGGTAGACATCTTGCAGACACAGTCGTTGTTGCTCTAGAATGAAATGTAATCAATGAAATGCAAACACATTGTTTCAGACTGATGATCACATTAGCATTTTTAACAAAGGACAAATTTTCAAAAGTTTCCAGATGTTCGTTGGTTTCTGTTATACTAAGCTACAATAATTAGTTGGTACTCATAAGGTTTTCAGTGCAGAATAACAAAATTATATCGTGAAATGCTCTGTGTATGGAGTTCATTTCCACGGGTATTGCTTGTTGGATTTTTCAGATTTTTACAATAGAACTCACCAAGCTAAAGCTCTTTGATTATCAGCTGGTAATGTTTTAAAATTTGAAACAGACAGATGAAGTTTACTAAAGCTTATAAATAAGCAAAAGCAAAAAAGAAAAAAAGGAAGAAAGAAAATTTGCAAAGGGGAATGAAGGCAATATCAATGTTAGAAAGTAACGTCCCCAATGACCTATATTAGGGTCAATTAAGAACAATTAATTAGTAAGACTTACAAAAGCTTATCAAGTAACAGAAACTAGACAAAAAAAATACAGATTGGCCATTTCTTCAACCACAATACAGGTTAGTCAGTCAGTCAGTCAATTACCAAACATTAATTAAAGCTCATCTGCTAAACATTCTGCTTGGTGCTAGAGATACAAAAAAGGTCTAAATAGTCCCTGCCCTCAAGGAGCTTGCATTCTAATGAAGAGAAAAACACAAAACTGATAGATAGAAAGTAGCTGGGAGGTAGTCTCGGAAAGGACTAGTAGTACCATCCTGGGGGAACCAGAAAAGATCTCCTGCCAAAATTAAGATTTGAACTGAATCTTAAAAGAAGAGAGGAAAACTAAGAGGCAGAGGTGAGGAGGGAAAATATTCCAGGCATGGAAGACAGCCGGTGCAAAGGTTGTACAAAGGTGGAAGATGGAGTATTGCATTTGAGGAGAGAAACTAGGCTTAGGGTAGCTGTAGCTCAGAATTCTCAGAGGGGAATGTTCTTTTTAGGAATATTAGTTACATTCCCTAATTTGTCCTGCTTTTGTGAACTTTGGATTTTCATTACAATCTTTCATAAAATGATTTAAGTTCTTTGTCTCACCCAAAGCTGAAGAGATTTTATGGAATGTAAAATAGAAGGGTTTCACTACAATGATATTGGAATGGAATCTTGTGACAGCTTGAAATCACCTACTTTATCTAATAACTCAGCAAGTATTTGTTGTCAGCTGAGGTCCTCTCACTAAATTCAGGTCATTTGCTGTGAGCTCCCTCTTCTTCCCTTCTCTTCATAACATTCCTTAATATTTTCTTTTCTTCAGGGGCAGCTAATGGATGGAGCTCCAGCCTTGGAGTCAGGAGGACCTGAGTTCAAATTCAGACACCTGGGGCAGTTAGATGGCACAGTGGATAGAGCACTGTCCCCAGAGTCATGAGGACCTAAGTTCAAATCCTGCCTTGGCCACATAATACTCACTAGCTGTGTGACCGTGGGCAAGTCACTTAACCCTGATTGCCTTGCCAAAAAAAAAAGATTTATTTTCCTCTTCTCTTTTCCCCCAGTCTCTGATGAGGTGACCCATCTTCTTACCGGGGTCAGTTCCTTCACATTTGCCCTTGATTCCATCCCCTCCCATTTTCTCCAGAAGACTATCCCTTTAGCCATCCTTTCTCCCTAATTTCCAACCTTTCCCTTTCTATTGCTTCCTTCTGTACTGTTTTAAATTTTGCCCAATATCCTCTTTCATAAGGAAAGAAAAAAAAAACACAACAGGGGCAGCTAAGTGGTGCAGTGGATTGAGCACAGACCCTGTAATCAGGAGAACCTGAGTTTAAATCCAGCCTCAGATACTTACTAGCTATGTGACCCTGGGCAAGTCACTTAACCCTGATTGCCTACAAAAAGCAAACCATTAAAAAACTTCAAAAGACCCTAACTCCTCTCAAGCTATCATCTTATATCTCTCCATCTTTTCTCAGCCAGACTCCCGGAAAACATTCTCTATCCTAATTTCCTCCTCTTCCTCTCCCCTTCCTCCTCAGTTCTTTGCAATCTAGTTTCTAAGATCATTAATTAATTCTCCTTAATGTTACTAAAGACCTCTTAATTACCAATACTGGTGGGGTTTTTTTTTTTCTCATTCCTTTCTTTTTTACCTTTCTGCTGCATTATTCATTACCTATCCTCCTGGATATTTTTCTCTGAGTTTTTGTGACACTGTTCTTTCTTGGTTCTTTTCCCATCTGTCTGACCACTTCTCAGTATCCTTTGCTAGCTCGTCATCCATATTAAATCCTCTAACTGTAGATATTCCCCAAAGTTTTATTCTGAGGCTTTTCTCTCTACACTCTCTCTCAGTGATTTGAGATACATACATACACATAGGTATATGTGTGTGTGAATGTGTGTGTGTACACATATATATATACACACACATACACATGTATGTATATATGGGTCATCCACAAGTGGGTGATAATATATGCACATATACATGTATATAACATACTCACATACACATATGTAAACATGCATACACATACATGTATGCGTCTAGGCCAGGGGTGGGGAACCTGTGTCCTAGAGGTCACATGTGGCCTTCTAGGTCCTTGGGTATGGCCTTTTGACTGAGTCCAGGTTTTACAGAACAAATCCTTTTATTAAGGGGATTTGTTCTCTGAAGTTTGGATTCAGTCAAAGGGCTGCACTCAAGGCCCTAGAGGGCCACATGTGGCCTCAAGGCCAAAGGTTCCCCACCCCTGGTAGCCCCAGTGTCTCCTCTGAGCTAGCTTCAATCTGGCATCACAGCCTACTGGACACTTCAAACTGGATACACTGGAAATATCTCAAACTCAACATGTCCAAAACAGAATTCATAAGATCCCCCTCTCAAAACTGACTTTCTTCAAAATGTAACTTCCTTTGCCAAACTCCTTTGCTACCATTCATCCATTCGCCTCGGTTTGGACCTTTGGCATCATCTTTGATTCCTCTCTGTCCCTCACCCCACATGTCAAGTCCTTCTATTTCTACCTCCAAAACACTTTTTGAGTTGGACACTTGGCTACGTGCATAGATACTACCTTAGTTCAGGCCCTTATCATTTCCCACAAATGCTATTGCAATGGCCGCCTCTCCATGGCTGCCATAATGATATTCCTAAACTGCAGCTTTAACCATGTGACACTCCCCCCAATTTTGAATTGAGTCTCTGGAATAAAATACAAACACCTTTGTTTGGCTTTTAAAGACCTTCCCGATCTTGCCCCAAACTCCTTCCAGTCTCACTACCCGTAACTCCACCTGTTGCACTCCATCTGGTCAGACTGGTCTTCTCTCTGTGCCATCTCCATGCCTCTCACTGGTCACCCCCTGTGCTTGAAATGCACCCCTTCCTCACCTTCATGACCTTCTACAGGAAGCCTTTCCCAATTTCCCTCCCTGACAATGGTGTATTTATTCTGCATATTCTTCCATAAGTTCCGACTTTCTTTCCTGATAGAATGTAAGCACCTTCAGGATAAGGATAGTCTCATTCCTTGTATCTGTATCTCCAGAAGCCAAAGCCAAAGCCCGGCACACAGTGAGCACTTGACAGATTGATCCTATGACTTCTAAGGTCCCTTCCTGCTCTAAATCTGTGCTCCTCCATGGAACAATGTAAAGGAAGAAATGTTAGTCTTAGAGGTGAGAGGAAAGTTTAAAAAACAGAAACAAAAACAACTCTCTTTGGCTGGGCAGACTATCTGGATGATGTGGGAAGGTCTTGTGCCAAGGGTGAAGAGACAGGAAAATGGTGTAGACTCTGCACTGTAAGGGGTGGGGGGTGGGGGTCCTTAGAAGGAAGTACAGGAGGAAGTGGGATCAGTGGCTAACAGTCGAAGCTAGGGCACAGGGGCTGGACTTGGCCTCAGCTCAAATACTGCCTCCTCCCCACTAGCCTGTGAAAACGCTTAAGCTCTCTCCACCTCCCACTGTATCAAACAGGATAACATAGGTTAAAGCACTTTGAAAACCTTAAAACCCTGGGTGAATACTAAACATTATTAACCTAACGGCTAGGTGAGGCTGTGGATGGTGACTAGATGATGATCCGAGGTGGCCCCGTGGATAGTGCCTGCGACTTGGAATCAGCAAAGACTTGAGTTTACATCTGACCTTTCTTGGCCTCGGTTTCCCCAACTGTAAAATGGGGATAATGGCAGAGTTATCGTGAGGATCAAATGAGTTAATATATGTAAAGTGTTTTGCAAACTTTACAATTTATATAAAGGTTAGCTCTTATTATCATTAACTTGGGGAGGAATAAGGAGGTGTGGGAAAGGGAGCAGATGCTGTTGGAGTTCAGGTTGGGGTCTAACCCGTATTCCCAATAAAGCCCCGCAGTTTGCTCGTCCCTGGCTGGCTGTTGGAGGGCCCTTTTGCTGAGAACTTGCTTAACTGAGACTCCGAAAGAGGAAGCGCCGAGCTCGGGGGCTGCAGGAAACCCAGTAAAGAGACGAGGCCGTTGCCCAATGACTCCGGAGCAAGGGTGTTATTTCTCCCCGGCCCTCCCTTCCCCTGCCTCTGCTCCAGGAGCCCAGAGAGTGGACCGGGCACGACCGGGGCGCCCCGTGTCCCAGGAAGGGGAACTGTTGAGGTTTGGGCGACCGCAGAAGCCAGTTTAAGTGTCCCACTCCCCCACCCCCAAAGGAGGAGAGCGAAAGGGGAAGGGGCAGGAGGAGCGCGCGGGCCTGGGAGGGGCAGTGCAGATAAACTGCGCCCCAAACCTACAGATCCGCCTCCCAGTGCTCCCGGTCTGGGCGCGCCGCCCGCGTCTTTACGCACGTGCGAACTTGGCACTTCAAGCCCCCGCCAGCCTCCCGGAGGCGGGGGGACGAGGCTGACCGACTTCCTCCCCGAGGACGCCACCCCCTCATCCCCGGAACGGAGCTGCAGACCGCACAGCCCCAGCCCCAGCTTGCTGGGGAGCTAGCTGAATCCTCTGTCCAGCGCCCGCCCCATCTCAGTGCAGGAGCGACCGCGCGGGAGGCTCGCCAAGGTAAAGCTCCGTACGCGGGCAGGTGCAGGGGCCAGGGGCGTCGTGGGCTGGGGTGCCTGAGCCCTTCACCCACCCGAGACCCGGGGTGACCTTGAGAAGAGGCGGCCAGCCCCCTTCCAGTGGGGTGGGGAACACCAGGCAGTAGAGGGGGACCGCCACCAGCCTCCCCACGTCGCTCCGACCTTAGCGCCCCTCTTTTTGTAGGGGGATTTCCGCGTACAGGGAACTTACTCCTTAAAGAAGTGGGGGGGGGGGGGAAGGCGCCCTTCCGCCATCCTCCCAGCCACTTCACCCGAAACTCTCACGGGTGCTCGGTGTGTGCCTGGCCCTAGATCTGTTTCGCCAAATTTGCACAACTTCCTGCCTAGAACATTGCTCAAAGTTAATCCAAGTGTTAACACTGCTAAGCTGCTTGAAGGCAGCCCTGCCCGTCGGATGAAAGGGAGCTTGTCTGGGAAAACCCGGAGCGAGCCTTAGGCTGGCTTTCATTCTGATCAGGACCAAGTTGGCGATCTTAGCCCCCTGGTAGAATGGATGTGATTCTGGGGGGAGAGAAGTGCAGTGTTTCTGTCACTAGGCATTGACTTTTAGAATTTGCTACCAAAGAAGGCTGTGAAATAAGGACCCAGGTGTCTTTCTCTTGCTAGAATTTCTTATCTGAATAATCAAATTCTGTTTTTTTCTGATTACCACTTCCCTTGGGCAAATGAGATAACGTGTAAAGTCCTTTGCAAATCTCAAATCTTATATAAATATCAATTATTATTATTGTTAAAAACCGTCATCTTTTTTTCCCTTTAAGTGCAAAAAAAAAAAAGGTAAAATGCTGAAAGTCAGGCAGCAGCCCTGTATTGTTGATGAGAATAAATCACAAGGGTAAATTTTATTTTACCAAAAATTTTACCAATCGATCAAAAAACATTTTAGCACTTTCTGTGTTCCAGCTAGTCACTGGGAATAGACAAATTAAAATGCTACAACAGCTCCTTCCCTCAACGAGCTTGCTTTTTATAGTAATGTAAGCTAAATTTCTTATCAGGAACTTGAGGCAGGTGGCTTATGGCAAGCTTTCCAGATGTGTGCCGTCTCCCATGGAAAAGAATGGTGTGAGGGAGACACGTGGCTGTGTTCTTTAAACATGGTACGGTGAAGGAACCCAGCATCTGCTGATACTGAAGGAACTAGTCCTTGGAAAAACAAAATTAGACTATTCAGAGAAGTATAGTAGTAACATGGAAACCCAGTAACCCAGTCCTTATTTCACAGACATTTGGGTTCTTAGGTATAGCAAATTTTAAGGCAGTGCCGAGTGTTGAAGGCAAGACTAAATTTAAATTTGGGGGCTTTAGTCAAAAATTGTGTCACTTGTTCAATAAACATCTCTGTGTTTCTCTGGTAGCTTTACAGTAACCAAAGGGATGTTTGGGCCATATTGTAAATTTAGAGTGAACTTCATACTGATAGTTTTGGGGAGGTAAATATGCCAGCTTTGGGGGGAAAGGGTGTGAATTTGTTGATTTAATTTGTTTTGTTTCAATTAAAATTATCAACTATCCCAATTTATGGTCCTTGGCATTAAAAAAAATCCTTGTTGTCTCTTAAAACCAAAATATCACATTTCCTTAATAGTAAAGGTGCAAGTATGTTTAAGTGGGGAATCAGGATACCTGGGTAGTAGTCATTTTTTCATCTCTAACTAGCTGTGACTTTGGACAAGTCATTTAGCCTTTTTAAGCCTCAGGTTTTTGGTTTTTGTTTTTTTTCCCACAGTAAAAGGCTAGATATCTTTAAAGCCTCTTCCAACTCTGTGATCTTTAAAATTTCTCCTGACTTGAACGAATGCTGGCTGTATTTAGATTAATATAAAGAATGACTAGTTACCCTACAGATTTAAAAGTCTTCCTGACCTCATTCCAGATGGAAAAAATCCAAAGAAACGCTTACCAATTTATCGATTCATTTGAACATCTTTGTTTCTGAGAATTCCAGAGTATTTTGATAAATAATTATTTAACCCTCAGAGTATAGTATATCTCTGGCCCATAAGGTGGGCAGGCCTCTATTTAAGACATGAAATTATTGAGATAAAGAATTAACTTACCCAAGGTTCTGTTGAGAGCCTGTCTCTCTTGTTAGTTAAGGGAGAGTATGGTCACAAAGACTAGATTCTAGGTCTCCAGCATTATTATCTCTCAAGAAACATAGTTATATATCGTTGACTGTCTTTTGCTGACAGGTCTGCTTAATCTAAAATTCATTATCTAACTAGTCTCCTTCCAGTTTATGTAAGTCTCATTAAAATATATTTGTATTTAGGTTGTACACTATGTTAAAAGACACCTGTCCTGCCTTTAATTGCCCTATTTTTATTTTAATTATTGATTATTTCTCATTTATGTGTTTGTGAACATTTGTTTGCTTCTTGTCTCCCCCCCTTTAACTGTGAACTCCTTGAGAGCAGGGACTGCCTTTTGCTCTTTTTGTATCCCCAGCATTTAGCACAGTGCCCTGTGCTTAGTAGGCAGTAAATGTTTACTGGCAGTTTTATGGCCCAGACATTGCTATATTAATGCAATTTTTGAAACCACAACAAATTGCATGGTCTGTAAATGCCTAATTTGTAATTCTACATCCCATGCTTTTTCCTCAGACCACTGAACTTTTATTTTTATTTGTTGTTGTTGCTGTTGTCAATTTTTTTTCTTGGAGGCAGTGAGAGTGGGGGAGGGGTTTAAGTGACTTGCTCAGGGTCACTCAGTGAGTACTTTTAAAGACTATTACTATTTTCAATTATTTCCCAGTTTTCTTCCAAATTAATTTTGACTTTTTTATCTAAAACACTGAGTTTTTTGCAGTCTTGAAGTGATTTGTGTATTTCATTCTTTCCATTACTGGCACAGGTATTTACCTATGGACAATTATATAATTACCAAAGAATCTTTTTGTTCATCTCAGGTAACACATTTTTTCCCTTGGCTTGGAAGGCTCCTAGGTACTTAAAGCATCATAGAAGTTAGAACTAACTAGAAGGAACCTTAGAGGCCATCTCATCCAGACTACCTCCCCAACCCCATTCTGTGAGCCAGTTAAGATTGCGCAGCTAACAAGAATAAAGCCAGTAGGGGCGGGTAGGTGGCGCAGTGAGTAGAGCTCTGGCCTTGGAGTCAGGAGGACCTGAGTTCAAATCCAGCCTCAGACACTTAACACTTACTAGCTGTGTGACCCTGAGCGAGTCACTTAACCCCTATCGCCTCACCAAGAAAAAGGCAAAAAAAAAAAAAAAGAATAAAGCCATATCCTCTGTCTCCAAACCCAGTGCTTTCTCAGTCATCCCCTTCTCTCCACTGTTCTCGTCACCTCTCCTGAACTTTGTAGTAGTGTCTTATTTGTTCTCCTGGTCATCAGTTTCTCCTCCCTGCAATCCAAATTTCACAGAGCTGCTCAAATAATCTAATGATTTTGTCATTCGTCGATGAGCCTTAACCTAAAATCTTAAGAGTCTCCCATTCGGCAAAATAGGATTCTCCTTCTCTTAGCCTTTGTCTCTGCACAGTCTGGCAACCTGAGCTTACCACACCAGACCGCTGATAGGCCCTCACACTTGACCTTCCGTCTTTTTCCTCCATGCATTTACACAGACTCTCATCCCCTGTGCCTGGAATGAATTCCCTCCCCATCTTTGCCTCTGTCTACCTTTCAAAGGCTTCCTGATCCTTCATAGCTCATCTCCCATGTCTCCATGAAACCTTCCTTGATCCCTCCAATATTCCCCATCCCCATCCAAAATTTCTGAGATTAGAGGTGTCTCACTCACTGCCAGCAGGCAATACCCTTTAGAGTGGTCTGGACCATATTAAAATGTAACTGGGAAATATTTAAGAGAATAAATTAAAATGTAATAATGTTAATTTATGGTTTTCTGCATCAGTATGCAGCCCACAGGGATCTGTTTCTGTTTGAGTTTAATACCACTGTCCTACATGACACCATCTGGATCTCTGTTTTGTCCCTATCACACCCTGCCTTCTATTAAACATACTTATCTTCTTGTCTTTGTCCACACCACGTTTCCCTACGTGCACTGATGGAGGAAACAAGTACATATGTAAATATGTGCAGCATAAATATAAAGTGAATAAATACAAACATATGCAAAGGAGTTAGATATAAGGTAGTTTGAGAGGCAGCAATTGAGGGGATCAAGAGAGGCTTCATTTGCTAGCTGTGTGACCCTAGGCAAGTCACTTAACCCCATTGCCTAGCAAAACAAAAAATTAGTTCTCTCTTTGGGGGCAGCTAGGTGGTGCAGTGGATAGAGCACCGGCCCTGAAATCAGGAGGACCTGGGTTCAAATTCGGCCTCAGACACATAACACTCGCTAACTGTGTGACCCTGGGCAAGTCACTTAACCCCATTGCCTAACCAAAAAAAAGAGAGAGAGAGAGAGAGGCTTCATGCAGAAGATGGTGCTTGAGCTTCATCTTGAAGGAGGAGAAGAGATGGAGACAAGGAGAGAGTGAATTCTAGGCACACGGGGCACCCGGTGGAAAGGCATGGGGATAAAAGATGGAATTATTGGGTCCAGGTTGTATAGGGCTTTAAAAGCTGAACTAGAGGCAATAATAGATAATGGGGAACCATTGGAGTTGCTTGAGTGGAAGGATCATGTGATTGGATCTTACCTTTAGAAAAGTTACTTTGACAGCTTGGTGTAGCAGGATAGACCAGAGAAGCTTAACCTGGGAGGCTTGAGAGGCTGTTGCAATGATCTAGGCAAGAAGGGATGAGGGCTTGAACTAAGGTGTTAGCTGTGTGAGTGGAGAGATTTGATGGGAGGGGTGTTGTGAAGATAGAAAAGGTGAAATCTGGTAACTGGTGGGATATGTCTACATATAGATATATAAACATATTCCATCAATTACCAAATAGATCTATATACCTATATACCTATATCTATTGATCTATATCTATATCTATATATATAGATAGATATAGATATA